ACTGCCTCCAAAACCAGTTTCAAAGACCAATTCAATGATCATTTGAGCCCTAATTGGATGCAAAGGTTTAGCATTGGATTTGCGGACATCTATGGGCAGTGTGTTGAGGGAATGGATGACTAACTGAAGAGACACTGGTCTGCTCCACACGACTGCAGTGAAAGACTCGATGATATGATATATGGATGTAATGTAAACAATGAGTGAATGGATGTATTGGTGATATTCGTACTGATCACCTGTGCAGTGCCTCAAATCCAACGCATTGAACGCTAACTCAATGCAGTGTTTCACGCATTCAATGGTTTAACGAACCCATAGATGAGTGGCACTGAGTCTTACAAATCATATCGACGCAGCATTTGCGTCCAAATAACCACTGATCATACTGTCCTCCCATTCACGCATACAGTCCCACACTGTCACATATTTGGCTTATATTCTGTGCCAACAAATTCACAAACTTTCGCACAATTCTCTAGATTTTTGTTATCAATATTTACTTTTCAGTTATAATTAGTCATAAAACACTTCCTATTAGTGGTAATAATACACGGATGCTATGAATACACTGATTCAGTAGTATAGATGACTTCACTTATCATTCATTGCATCCAACTTTTAAACACTCTATTAATTAATCTCAATTAATCAATCAAATAATTTATTGCTATAATAATAGACTATCATATTACTTATACAGTATATACAGTAATACTGTAAGCTATACAGTATAATGAAAAATAGTTAAAATGACAAAACCAATGAACCAGTACAACTACAACTATGATATAATTGAATAATAGTTGAATCTATTTCTATTCATTTTGTATCTCGTTTTACTGTATGCTATTGTATTTTGCTTAAGAATTTTAGAATTTAAATATTTCTAATAGGAACATATGTTCTAGGTGTGTCTGGGTATAATTTTTCTTTTATAATTGACAATTCAATATTCAGCAAAATATGGAACCGTTAAAGGAACAAGGTTATATTTTCTAATAAATTAATATAAGTAAATCGTATATAAAATTTTCCCTGAAATATATAAAACAATAATTTTGGGAAAATTTTTGAGTGAATTAGTGCTGAAATGCTATTCAATAGAGATTTGGTTTTAACTAAAAGTTTCACTCAATTTGTGGCAAATGTTTGCATTGTTTGCCATCCAATGAGTTATAGTCGTAATTTGTGTACAAATGGTGTTTTGTTGTCGTAATTGAAATGTCTTATAACTTGTGGTGTGACTCAAAATCAGATGAAATGATCTAAAGAGTGAATCCACGACTAATCGGTGTCTTAGCTCACAATCGGTGGTGACAGCAATTGAGTGTGATGTCTGTGGAGATCCCACGAAGTCTGAAGCATTTGGTGCAGAAAGTGATGCGGGGTTTCTATCCGATAGAGCACGTGATTGTGGTGGATCTGCTGCTGCGGAAGCGTTTGGTGAAGGAGGACGACATGATAGAGCTGCTGAAGTTCGAGAGGAAGCACTTGAGGGCAGTGTTGGCCACTCTAGAGAAGGACAAACTGACCAAAAAGAAGCTGAAGATCGAGACGGGAGCGGACGGAAAGGCCAATCGCCACAACTATTACTACATTAACTACATGTATTTGTGAAGCTATGCGTCGATGACAGCAATGATTGGATTGCGTTGAGTGCGAGAAACGCCCACTAAATGCATGTTTCGTTGATTTGCTAGCATTTAGTGAGCCATCAATCGCTGGTCGCGTGTGATATGAGATGTCAGGACACGAGTATTGGTTGATATCAGCGCCGGGAGAGAAGACCTGTCAGCAGACGTGGGAATCGCTGAACGCGACCACAAGCCGTCAGTCAGACCTCTGCAAGAACTTTAAGTTTCATATCCCGGACCTAAAGGTGGGAACATTGGACCAATTGGTCGGTCTGTCCGACGACTTGAATAAGTTGGACACCTATGTGGAGGTCGTGTGCCGTAAACTGGCCGCCAGTATAGCTGACACTCTGGACAACAAAGACAAGAATCAGCAGCAGATCAGTGAACACATTCAGGCGAACGGACAGGATTTGGCCCAATATGTGACCAAATTTCAGTGGGATTTAGCGAAGTATCCCATCAAACAGTCGCTGAAGTCGTTGCAGGACATCATCAGCAAACAAATCGGACAAATCGATACCGACATGAAGTCGAAGACCTCGACGTATAACAACCTGAGAGGGAATCTGCAGTCTCTGGAGCGCAAACAGACGGGCTCTCTGTTGGTCCGCAATTTGTCCGAATTAGTCAAACGCGAGAACTTTGTGATCGGCTCCGAGTACTTGACCACTCTGTTGGTGGTCGTGCCGAAGGCCTACTACAAGGACTGGCAGCAGAAGTACGAGAAGTTGACGGATATGATAGTCCCGCGATCGTCGACACAGATCTTCGAGGACAACGATCACGGNGTACTTGACCACTCTGTTGGTGGTCGTGCCGAAGGCCTACTACAAGGACTGGCAGCAGAAGTACGAGAAGTTGACGGATATGATAGTCCCGCGATCGTCGACACAGATCTTCGAGGACAACGATCACGGGTTGTTCACCATCACTCTGTTCAACAAAGTGGTCGATGAGTTCAAAGCGCACGCCCGCGAGAACCGGTTTGTGGTGCGAGAGTTCGCGTACAACGAGGAGGACATCAACGCCGGGAAGAACGAGATCGTGAAACTCGAGAACGACATGAAACGGCAGTACCAGATACTCCTGCGATGGCTGAAAGTCAACTTCAGTGAGGCCTTCATCGCCTGGATTCACGTCAAAGCGTTGCGGCTGTTCGTCGAGTCCGTCCTCCGGTACGGACTTCCCGTCAATTTCCTGTCGGTTTTGATTCACCCGAATAAGCGAACGCAGCGTAAGCTAAGGGATGTGTTGAACCAACTGTACCGGGTAAACCTGTGTAGATATAGAGTTCCTGGGTAACTACTGTAAGGTCCAGAGTTAGAGCCGTGGCCTCTCATGATAGGTATGCAAATGAAATTTCAGTTATAGCTATACAAACCCTGTGTCTTATTATAGATTTTAATTAAATTCAATGTTTACTCTTTAATGTTTAGCTATATTTAGGTGTTAATCATTACAAATGGACTAAAACTCGTATATAAACCAGTATTTACTTCACATATAGTCTATGAATATATAATCGAGAAAACTGTTTGAAAACAATTATTAATTTATCAATAATTCTAAAAGGTTGTAAAATATATTCAGATTTTAATTTTATGAAATCTTTTTAATTAATGTATTTAAATGTCTATTACATTTGAATCAGATGTTAGTTTCAAATTATAACTTAAAAGTTAATTAATGAATTAAATCATATATTTTTAGTTTATTTGACGAATTTTGTTATTATTTTAAGTATAATGAATGGTTTGCATAAAAATTACCATATTTTACATCATATAACATTTGGGGTTTAATGCAAAAAGTCTTTTCGCGCTAACAATCGCAGTGCAAACATATGTTTAAAATAAATATTCTTGATTTTAAATTGAGTGCATTTAATGTTTTATGAATAACTGACAAAATGGTGAATGAATTAAATAAGAAGTCTGAAGAGCTTAACAAACAATTGGTTGAGAAGAATATACCGCTGAGTAAAGCGAGAAAAGATAGCATCAAACACTTGGAGGAAACAAGTCTTTTATTAAATGAAAATGCAGTCAAATATAATCAAGAATCGCTTCAATTAGAAACACATTTTAGCAATAAGTATAACAAGTATTTGTTGGCTCTGGGAGTCGCTGGAGGCCTACTCTTAACCTATGGCTTCGGGAGTTTACTCTTCAATTCGTCACAAAAGTCGAGCGATTTATCTATAGATTATTACTGATAAGAATTATTAAATTATACATTAATTACAATAAAATGATTAAAATACAATGTTTAAAACTACATTAATATAACAATTATTTTGAAGAATCTTATTTAACTTATCATAATTATAATTTTATATGCACCACACAGAATATTATTCTTTGTATCTAAAATTATGAATGTTAGCTTTTGATTTGGTATTGTGACCAATCCCCGCGCTTTAAAAATGTTATTTCATCAGAGCATTACAGTACATATTGAATCAAACTAATTTAATGTCCATTGTTGCAGTTATCCAACGGCTATTTGACACTCCTGTCCTCACATTTCTGATACAGTGTTACATAACCTTATTTTTACCGTTTATTTGTTCTATTTTTGAAGAATTAAATCTGATTTATATTATCTTCAAACTGACGATTAGTTTAATAACAGAAGACAGAAATGAGTGATGAAAAGGACGACAATTTGAACAAAAGCACTGAAAATAATGATCCGATGGACTTGAAGTTTGATACAGTAGTCCCTAAACCAAACGCAGACAATACAGCGAAACCACAAACTTATGAGACGGTTATAGTGACCGAAGAAATGGTCCAACTCTACGAACATCGCATAACTGAGTGGCAAAACGGTGTGATTGTGTCGGATGTGCGCAAACTGTTGGCTACACCGTGTGTGGGACCAGTGCGCCAAAAGATTGTCACCACTGAAAAGATTACAATACCCAAGCAATCATTGGTCGCTCCCATTAAAGTCAATAAACAAATGGATGGCAAACGCGTGGAGAGCAATGTGATCGGCATTCCCATCACAATCCTTCAATCGGATATGCCGGTCATCGAAACCACCGAATTCGTTGACATTCCCATTAAGACCATCAAAAGGACGACACAAACCCAATGACATTTGAGTGGACCTTAAATCGAGAGTTTTGACACCGATTTCATTATAATACGCCAATGGTTTCAAAAAATTATATTTCAATTTATATTTTCTTTAGAATATAAATAATAAAAATATAAAATTGTTTTCAATGATTATAGATATGTAAATATATAATAATAATCTTTAATTGCAATTATTAACAAGAGATACGTTCACTTTGAAGGCAAACAATTGATTATGAAATTTGAATGAAAAAATGTTAACTGATTTACAATAAATTATATATAAATTGTGTCTAAATGTCGTACATATGGGCGTAAACTTGTTGCGAGAGTCGTATGTATTCTTCCTTCTCTTCTTCGCTCATCTGCGCTATGATCTCATCGTTCACTTCACTCAATGGTATGGACTGATGACCGACAATAACCATCGGTTGCTGTCCGTCCACCTCATCCTCCTCTTCATCACTCATAATCACGTCATCGTTGTTATCATTGTTATAGTTATTCGACAAATGATTAGTCGTTTCGCTCAACAGAAGAGACACAGCATTAGACGAGTTCTCCAACTGTTTCTCATGAATCAGAAGTGTCTCCAAAATCTCTTTCGACGGCTCGTTGTTATCGAAACTGGAGTTGAAAAGCGAATTAGTTTTAGTCATATATTTATTGTTGGGTTTGGAGGACGAGTTCTGTGGAGTGGAGCCATCGTTCATATGATTGCTATTAATGGTGTGATTGATGTTAGAGACAGTGCTCTCCAACATCCACGACGGCTGCTCTTTCTTCACGACAATCATCTCCCGATCGCCGGCCCCGCCGTCCACACCATCACCGCTCGAGTCCTCGATTTTTATCGTATAGTTCTTCTGGTCGTTGAGAACCGAGTTCTCGTATTCACTATTAATGGCTCTATTCTTGTCCGTCCACTGCCTTCCGGACGAATGGTTGCCGGCGTTGGCCTGAGATTGTGGCCCCGAGTCTGCCGTCACCTGAATCTCCGGTTCGAGTAAATCAGACGACAGACGAATATCCTCGACATCTTTGAGTAGAAGCCAAAGCGGTTCCATTATTTGGTTGAATTTGGCCACAAGTAGTCTCGAGTCTGCTTTAGGCATATGATTCGGGTCTTCCTTGACATCCCCTCCGCAGAAGGAACACCTGTTTGGACACCAAATCATCACTTAATACAAGCGCACATACATTACAAGACCACGAATGCAGACCTCATTTCGCCGGTCATCACATCCAAGAGTTGGTCCACTTCGAGGTCAGTGAAGGTCTTGTGGCAGTCGTCGCAGACGAACGAGGCTCTGGAGGTGAGGTCCCTCTCCTCCAACTCCAACTTCTTCCTCATGTGATCCAACTTATACTTCACGACATTCACGAAGGCTTTGTAGTTAATGTAGTAATAGTTGTGGCGATTGGCCTTTCCGTCCGCTCCCGTCTCGATCTTCAGCTTCTTTTTGGTCAGTTTGTCCTTCTCTAGAGTGGCCAACACTGCCCTCAAGTGCTTCCTCTCAAACTTCAGCAGCTCTATCATGTCGTCCTCCTTCACCAAACGCTTCCGCAGCAGCAGATCCACCACAATCACGTGCTCTATCGGATAGAAACCCCGCATCACTTTCTGCACCAAATGCTTGAGACTTCGTGGGATCTCCACAGACATCACACCCGATTGCTGTCACCACCGATTGTGAGCAAAGACACCGATTAGTCGTGGATTCACGATTTAGATCATTTCATCTGATTTTGAGTCACACCACAAGACATTTCAATTACGACAACAAAACACTATTTGTACACAAATTACGACTACAACTCATTGGATGGCAAACAATGCAAACATTTGCCACAAATTGAGTGAAACTTTTAGTTATCATTAAATTAAACCAAATCTCTATTGAATGGCATTTAACTCAAAAATTTTCCCAAAATTATTGTTTTATATATTTCTGGGAAAATTTTATAAATTATATGATTTACTTATAATTTATTAGAAAATATAACCTTGTTCCTTTAACGGTTTGCTGAATATTGAATCATTCAATTTGAATGTCAATTATAAAAGAAAATTTATACCCAGACACACCTAGAACATTTGAATTCTAAAATTCTTAAGCAAAATACAATGGCATAAAACGAGATACAAAATGAATAGAAATAAATTCAACTATTATTCAATTATATGATAGTTGTGCTGGTTCATTGGTTTTGTCATTTTAACTATTTTTAATTATACTTTATAGCTTACGTTACAGTATTATACTGTATAATATGATAGTCTATTATTATAGCAATAAATCATTTGATTGATTAATTGAGATTAATTAATAGTGTTTAAAAGTTGGATGCAATCAATGATAAGTGAAGTGATCTATACTACTGAATCAGTGTATTCATAGCATCCGTGCATTATTACCACTAATAGGAAGTGTTTTATGACTAATTATAACTGAAAAGTAAATATTGATAACAAAAATCTAGAGAATTGTGCGAAAGTTTGTGTGAATTTGTTGGCACAGAATATTCGCAAAATGTGTGACAGTGTGGGACTGTATGCGTGAATGGGAGGACAGTATTCACAGTGGTTATTTGGACGCAAATGCTGCGTCGATATGATTTGTTATGATATGGTGTTCAACTCAGTGCCACTCATCTATGGGTTCGTTAAACCATTGAATGCGTGAAACACTGCATTGAGTTAGCGTTGAATGCGTTGGATGTGAGGCACAAACAGGTGATCAGTACTCATATCACCAATACATCCATTCACTCATTGTTTACATTACATCCATATATCATATCATCGAGTCTTTCACTGCAGTCGTGTGGAGCAGACCAGTGTCTCATCAGTTAGTCATCCATTCCCTCAACACACTGCCCATAGATGTCCGCAAATCCAATGCTAAACCTTTGCATCCAATTAGGGCTCAAATGATCATTGAATTGGTCTTTGAAACTGGTTTTGGAGGCAGTGTTGAGTCGACTGATGACTGACCTTAACATTCAATACCAGGTATCCATTGATTCACTGATTACTCATTGATGAGACATATTTTGAGTGCTAATTGCGTTCATAATATGATAACTGTTTGTTATGTCTGTAATGCATTGAAATGAGTGTTTGTTTGATGTATTGATTCACTCTTAATGACAATACAGTGAATGTGATAAACCAATGAATTGAGTTCAATGTCTTTGATGTGTATGTCTATAGAGACGTTCATTGCCTGCGAGGAGCCAACGATTGTCACAACAGACACAACACGACAACTGATCCGTGAATGGACTGCAGGGAAGAGCTATAGAGATCTGATGTGCGCTCAATCGCAACGAAATCTCACTTTTCTTTAAACAAAACAACAAAAAGAGATCCCAAAGAAAAACAAAACCCTATTTTGAGTGACAATTGAGTGATCGGTGACTGACAGACAAATGTCCAGAAGCGGAGTCAAGAGTCTATTGATTGTCTCAATAGTAGTAGTAGTTGTACTCAATCTACAATCACTGCCAGTATGTTGTAATCAAATCCATACGGTTGTATCCAATGAACAAAACATGGATCAAATGAATGGTGATATTCCGTGGCGTCAAATAAAGTTCATTTCTCCGCAACAAAGTGTGAGTCAAAGTCAATGGCATTCAGCCATTCCTGTCTTCAGTGGCAAAGGGATGGATCACTTGTATCTCATCACTGAATATGTGATCGATTTGTTGCAATCGCCGGGACTTCCGCCTAATGTGATCAAAGATGAACTTTTTGACGATCCCTTACCTGTTCTCCAAGAAAACAGAGGACGGGTTAGTTTCACTCCATTTCCCACTTGATTATCACTTTTGCTAATCATTTGATCCCATATTTAGTTAATAACTCATTTTTGGGGACTTATTCTCACGTCAATAGTGATCATAAGTGTAGCGATAGTATTACCACTGATCGCATGTTTTTGTTGCTGTTGTTGTTCAACGGATAAGCACTCGAGACGTGCCAAACATAGCCGAAGCTATGCCTCTTCATCGAATAGTTCTCCCGGAAGACGAAGAAGTAGTGGACATAAGAAGAAGCGCTACAAAGTGGACAATACGTGCGACCCATGTGTTCGCAGCTTAAGTGGTGTCAAACTCTTTGTGATGCTATTATTGATGTCATAAAGTGTGAGTCAAAGTCAATGGCATTCAGCCATTCCTGTCTTCAGTGGCAAAGGGATGGATCACTTGTATCTCATCACTGAATATGTGATCGATTTGTTGCAATCGCCGGGACTTCCGCCTAATGTTATCAAAGATGAACTTTTTGACGATCCCTTACCTGTTCTCCAAGAAAACAGAGGACGGGTTCGTTTCACTCCATTTCCCACTTTATTATCACTTTTGCTAATCATTTGATCCCATATTTAGTTAATAACTCATTTTTGGGGACTTATTCTGACGTCAATAGTAATCATAAGTGTAGCGATAGTATTACCACTGATCGCATGTTTTTGTTGCTGTTGTTGTTCATCGGATAAGCACTCGAGACGTGCCAAACATAGCCGAAGCTATGCCTCTTCATCCTCAAGTAGTTCTCCCGGAAGACGAAGAAGTAGTGGACATAAGAAGAAGCGCTACAAAGTGGACAATACGTGCGACCCATGTGTTCGCAGCTTAAGTGGTGTCAAACTCTTTGTGATGCTATTATTGATGTCATTCTTCGTGATCTGTGCCTTCGTTACCAATGAGTACATCCGATCAGGTGTTCAACAAATGCCAAAGACTTTCAATCAATCGACCGACGATTTGATGCTTTATCTGAATAACACTCAACACGAGATCAATACACTCTTTCGAACAAACTTTGAACAATTGGAACAGGAATTGGGTGATAGTCTCGACAAAAGTGGTCTAATTGTCAAAAACAGGATCGCAATCATCTCAGAAGCGGCCTCTTTGAACAATCTGACGGATATTGTCTCAAGTAAGCGATCATTCAATTGATTAGTTGTTTATTTGCATTTAAAACGTGTTATTATGTGATCCAGAGTTAGGATCAGTTTTAGAAGATCTGAAGACACTTTCGGGCGAAACCACAGAACTTCGGTTATTGACGGTTCAGTTGCAGGCGAGGCTCACGAGGATTAAAGATGTAAATTATTAGCGATTAACTCTTTGATTGAATTGAATTAAGTTGTATTTTTGGCTTTTATTTGTCAGGATCTGGATAACTTTTTGGTGAAATGCAGAGACAGAGTCTGCACTGATTTACGATTCAAATACAACCGAGTGTTGGACTCATTTTCAGTGTCCGCTCGTATTGACGAATTGCCCGATTTGTCGCCTTTAATGCAAAATATATCTCATTTACTCAGAGCTAATATTGTGAATGAGATCCGGAAAGGCAAAGAAGCTTTCGATGAAATCAGTTACAAAATACAGGCGACCGTCACTCTTTCGAACAAACTTTGAACAATTGGAACAGGAATTGGGTGATAGTCTCGACAAAAGTGGTCTAATTGTCAAAAACAGGATCGCAATCATCTCAGAAGCGGCCTCTTTGAACAATCTGACGGACATTGTCTCAAGTAAGCGATCATTCAATTGATTAGTAGTTTATTTGCATTTAAAACGTGTAACTATGTGATCCAGAGTTAGGATCAGTTTTAGAAGATCTGAAGACACTTTCGGGCGAAACCACAGAACTTCGGTTATTGACGGTTCAGTTGCAGGCGAGGCTCACGAGGATTAAAGATGTAAATGATTAGCGATTAACTCTTTGATTGAATTGAATTAAGTTGTATTTTTGGCTTTTATTTGTCAGGATCTGGATAACTTTCTGGTGAAATGCAGAGACAGAGTCTGCACTGATTTACGATTCAAATACAACCGAGTGTTGGACTCATTTTCAGTGTCCGCTCGTATCCTGCTTAACGGGCTAAACAGCGGAAATTACGTTTTATATAGAGTAAATGAGTCTCGATTATAACACTTACTCTAGGCCTTTCCGTTTCTTCGAAAGCTACTTTAGTCAATGTTTTATGTCCGCTGGCTTAATAACAGTATTCCTGATATTAAAAGGCAAATCAGATCTGTGGGCAGAGATTTGAGTGCCGTTGCAGATGATATCAATCTAGTGCTGAGACGACCCTTCACTGATTTGTCTAAAATCAAGGCCAATGTCTATACGGGACAGACATATATTGAGAAATACGAACCCTACCGGTAATGTCATACGAGTTTAGTATTATTATATTTATTGTGACAATTATGTTGTCTTAACAGATGGTACGCCTGTTTGGCCGGCGCTTCCATATTATCCCTAATACTCATTCTCTATTCATTTGGTCTGTTGTGCGGTGTCTGCAACCAACAGCCCACTCGTCATAACTATAAATGGCGCTCAAAATCATCGACCCGTCTATTCCACTGCGGAATCGTTTTACTCGTATTACTCTTCTTCCCTCTGCTCTTCTCTACAATTGTTTTATTCCTCTTCGGTAGCGTTTCCGACAAAACTGTTTGCTATTATTTGGAAAACCTTTCCGACCCTCAAAGCAAACAGATTGTAGCTATTCTTCAGAACCGATTCGAGAGATTGCATTACGCGGAGTCTCTGGACGTGATTCAAGGTCCGAAACCAAACTTCGCTGATGTTATCACTCGATGTCATCAGAATCACAGTCTTTACAACGTTTTACAATTGTATCGATACAATGACATTCAGCTAAACAATGGCAGAACTGTTGAGAATTTTAATATCACAGAAATCTTACAGTTTAAAGAGGTTTGCAATCAATTGATGAGTTTTTATGTTTTTTACGGTAAATTTAATTTAAACACTATTTTATAGCGTTATAAGATTGAAGACAAATTGAATGAATTCCTGAATCGAGTGAATGTGAATCCAGCGAATGTGGTTCTACTCACTGCCGATGGCTATCAACTGTTGGAGAGTCTAAAGGAGACCTCTTTAGGAACTCTTAATTTTTCGAGTTATGCGGATGTCGTCAAAAACAGCATCAGTCCCATTGATTTGGTTTCCATCTCCACTGAATTGGAACGGGAGGCCAATCGGTTGCCTAAGAATGACTTCGAGAACATTGCAAGACTTCGAAACATAGCCATGGATTTGAAAGTTCCCATCAATTTGGTCGTCAAAATCAAAGAAACGATTGTTTGTTTTGAACGTATATTTTATTTAAAAAACATAATTTAATAATTTTGTGTCATTTTAGGAGGCATTGACTGCCGGCGCTGAGAAGATTGAACGCAAAGCCAATTATGGGAACAGAGGTCTGAAGGAAGCGCTGACCACTCTATTAAGACAGGCCGAAGACGCACAGAAATTCATCTCAAATAAAGGTCACCACGAAATACATACCGTCGCCAAGCATTTCATCAGAGATATGAGTTCTCTGGTCGACCAATACGGACAGCATGTGGTTGAGGAGGTAATTGTGCTCTCGGTTTGAAGTGATATGTGATCTCAGTTTGAATATGTGATTGAATGGCACAACAGGTCCTCCATAAGATCGGACGGTGCGAACCCGTGAGTCGTGCTTTCAATTCATCGGTTATGGCGTTGTGTAAGGAAACGGTTCTCCCATTTGTGAGTGACATTCACTTGAAAATCTGATGGCACAACAGGTCCTCCATAAGATCGGACGGTGCGAACCCGTGAGTCGTGCTTTCAATTCATCGGTTATGGCGTTGTGTAAGGAAACGGTTCTCCCATTTGTGAGTGACATTCACTTGAAAATCTGAGCGAAACTTAATTTGAATGTGTTTTGTGTGTAAATTAATTGTTCAGAACGGCTACTGGTCTTCAGTGTTGGCGTCTCTCCTCATATGTATTCCTTCGACTCTCTTCGCGTATATTCTCGCAAATCTATACCAAAAAGTCAAACGTCTGCCCATTCGTAGAGAATCGTAAGTTTATTGACATTTACTTTGAACTTATTGTTAGAATCTCAGTCAAACAATACTGTACCGGTATATTAAATTACCAGAATTTAGTGAATTAGCTTAGAATTTGTGTCAATTGTATTCAAGTTTTATTGTATGAATACCTGACGTCTGTCTATAATTACTAACACACAAAACACAACGGAAAGTTTAGTTTCTCGGAAAATAATTTGAATACGACATAAAGGATAAGTTCACTGAGTTGTGAGCTGTTGAACCTACTCCTGCTGTAACCACTCGCGCAGTAATTAATCTTTTTTGTTGTTTTTAAGTCATTTTTAAATTAAGGAAATTTGTAAATATTTTCATTAATGTTTAATTGAATTTAATTAGTAATGAATTTTATAATTAAGTAATAAATTAATTATGAAGTCTTGACAGAAAAAGCCACAGAGAGGAACCGACTCCCAGCGCACCCCCTAATAGAGCAGATGACGACAACTGGTCTCCCGGCTCACTCCCACCTCATCTCTATGGCTCTCGACCCCCACCTTATAATTTTGTCGTCAATTAGTTTGTTTGCATTTGATTTGTATTTTTTGTTTTCACCAAATTTTATTTTATATATTACACCAAATGATTTATTCAATGCTTTTATTTAGTCTTATATTTAGAGCGAAATTATAGTGCATTTTAAAAATCAATTTACGGTAAAAAATATTTTTTTAATTGAATACAAAATTTGCAAAATTTAGTGAATCAAAGAGCCGTTTCTGAGGATATATTTTACAATATTTGCATAAAATTATCATAATATTCAAAATGATTGGCATTTATCCAAATGCTATTACAGTTTGGCAATAGTTTAAGGAATTCTCACAAATATTTATAATTAACTATTGAAGGAATGCTTAACGAATCTATTCATTCAATTAAAGTTGGGCTCAATTTTGTTGTTTTCTCTCCTCCTTATGATCTCTATTAAGGGAACACTACTTCAACACAAATATACATTCAATTCATTATTCTGTTCTCTAGTAATGTCTCTCATATTTGAAACAATTTATTATTATTACGATTATTATTCTAACGTATTATACAGTTATAATAGGTTTTGTATTATATTTATACAACTTTTTATTGGCAAATAGTGTGCAATACTTGCGTTTTGATTCATTATTTTCACCATTCATTTCATTCTACCTTTCAGTCATTACTAGTGTATTATGAATACTCCTTTGAAACTATAAAATACAGAACAATATTGTATTTAAAATATAATATTATAATTTGTTTTTACATCTCATGTGCCTTCAAGTCTAGACTTTAGTTCAATACTATATTCTATTAATTATTATAATTATTATATTATATAAAATTGAAAATATTATTGTAAAATAGGTTTAATTATATTATAAACTATTTAATCTATAAATAAATAAAATTTATTTCGATGCTTTACTTTTGTGAATTTATTCCCATAAATAGCTAATTGAAAATGATTTAAGCAATAAAATGTTGTTTTTAAGTAATAATTAAGACACGGTTTTTATAGACAATTAATTAAATTTTTATTCAAATATTACTTCAATTAATGAGTGAAAAGCCAATTATACAGATCTGTATATAATTCTCATAATATCTAAACTTGCAAAAACTAATGCAAAGTATGGTTTGAAACTTTTTGGTAATATATTAAATGGTTTTCATTTATAATAAATAAATACATTATAAGTGATCACAATATGAATCGGTTTAAGGGTTGTATCACACGATATATCCATTAAATCATTTGAATCGATGACAACAAGTGATTGCATTCATAAAGAAATTTCAATTCAAAATGAATTATGTTTTGTGGCAACACTTAAACCGATTCCTAATTTTATTATTTGTATTTTAATATTTATTTAGAAAATATTGGACTAAAAATGACTCGAAATTAAATCAAAATTATTCATCGATAACTCGTTTGGTTTTATTATACAATGAAAATAATTTATAATATATTAATATATATTAATTGAAATATTAATCTTATATATAATTTTTGTGCCAAAAATGCATTTCTATCGTACAAAAGGGATTCAAGTTATGTATTAAGCGCTAAAACACTTTTGTTATCAATTGATTGACAATTTAATCCAAATTCATATATCACTTCACAATGAGTTCATTCAATATTAAAAATAATGGAGTTTTAGTATTATTTCTCGATTTTTACACATATTTTGGTTCTTTTGATTAGTTTTGTTTTTCAACAAACATTTATATGTTTTACAATTTTACACAATTTTCTATCAATTTTAGAGTCAATTTGAAAGTTTGAAAATTTGTTAAATACAGTATTTGTAAATATTTTGTCTTATATAATAAACACTCCATTAAATACAATGTATGTCCACTCCATGAGCAATGCCAGGCCTTAACTATTCATAATTATAATCACAAGCATTTCATATATGATTAAGTTATCAATTCTTTAAACACTTTTTACATATATTCTGCACTCATTTGATGAAATTATAGTTTAAATAAAGATATATTATATTAAAATCTGTTATAATAAGTGCCGCTATTGTCACAAATAATTATTACTATAATTATTATAATAAACTCAAATCAATGAATGCAAGCGCAGGAACTCTGGTATTGATATACTGTATAATAAATATATATTAATATATGATAATATTTAAACTCAAATATCACAAAATCTTCTTAAAATTTTAACATAACTTTTATAACACACTTTGAAATCAAATCAAAATATCTTAAACTAAAAGTAAAAATAGTTGCGATTTCTTACAGGTATTTGAAGGCTATATGACGTCAATATATCAACACAATTGTCTCTAAAGTATTTCATTTTAGACTATATTTAACTCAAAAACTATTGCATTATTAGTATTAATACAGTATTAAAAGGTTGCGACCAATATAGCAGGTACTGTAAAGGGCTTCATAATTGACTTAACATTTGCTAAGCACTTAGAAAAGTAAATGAAAATAATTTGTCACTTAT